TCTAATACATCCGTTAACCCAAGTCAGCACATCTCGGTGTATGTTGGGTCAAATGTGTCTACCGGAAATAAGCCTAGTGGAGGCATTCGTTCTAGGGTGTGACAGCGGGTGAGAGTTATAGATTGCCCGCTTCCCCTGCTTTTAAGTACATAAGGTTCAGGCAAGTCTCTTGTCATGTCAAACTGAATGCATCGGTCACTCCTGGACAAGGTTAATCGCTTAGGTTACAGGACACATCTGCTATTAGGCGGATATTTTCTCAACCCCCAATCTCTCCCCTGACCTGTAGCTGAAGCCTTGAAATTTGTAGTGGACTGACAATAAACACTCACATTAACTCCAGATTGTGTGAGTCGCGCAACTTCGCATACTTTTGATACGTCGCTAGTAAGTTGAGACATATGATCAAGGCGGCGAATCCCACATGATGAGTAGCTATCAGGGTTTGCATTTAGTTCACAAATTGAAGGCTTTCAATCCGTGTAAGCCATAAACCTCCTGCCTTCTACCACGTGGGTACAGTGCTTAATGGCTAGAAAAGTTGCCAACAACTCCCGGCACACATTGACTGTCGAGTTTTGCTTGAAAAAAGACTTTTTGTACAGAACGTCCACTGCTTGACAGTGATTTTCCGGAAGCGGATTGCCTTGCCCACAGCCGCATCAGAAACATTGACCACGAGTGCTTACGATCAATAACATCAGAGTATCTTGGAACTGTAGCCTTTATAAAGGCCATTTTCCATTCGTAGATCACCTTAATAGCTTACGTAGGAAGCTTAAGGTCTATAGGATTTATTCTCGGAGCGCTGTTCATAATGTGGTATAAATCCAGGACGATATTAGTAGGACCAAGGAGGCTCCTTAGTTGTGTCACTGAACTCTCTGCAATGGCAATTTTCCTTCCTTAATCACGTCTTCCCAGGAAGTTGGTACTACATTAGGAAGCTGTAGCAACTACGATACAGCAGCTACTCCTATTCATCCCAAATCGAAGCCAAATTTTAACTGGACAAGTTCTCTTCCAGCTCAAGCCGAAAGCCACCTGAAAAATCTTGGTCTCAATGACTGTCAGATATAGTCGAGGCCATCTATATTTCATCAACAGCCCCGGTCAATCCCGAGAGTAAGTCCTAAGCTTGGCAACTCAGGTCCTGCAATTCAGTCCCAGAAAACTGTGCGCAAGCCTCAGTCTGCATTTACAAGGAAGAACACATCCCAAAGGTTGGATTAAAGTCCCAATCATAGACTGTTCATGCCATTTACCGTTAACGAAAGTGGAGCCTCCCTTCTGACTGATCGTAAAGAGCACGATCCTGCTCAATAAAGGGATATTCCCAAACTTCTGGGGACCTTGCCCTATAGTCCATCTCCAAAACGGTCGGCCTGTAGTATGTTCTCCCCCAAAGGATCTCCTAGACCTCTGAGAGTTTTTCTGGATAGTTTTTATCAATCCGAAGACATCCACTGGAAAAAACATCAGTTGGTAAAGCAGAAACTATCGGGTGTTAGGATTGGGCCTGATAAACCCTGTTCAGTGAAGGAACTTCTCCACGGTAGCAGAAAAATTCACTCCCAAGGACTGGCAACACGATCTACTGAATCAGCCTGTGTCTGGAACTTCCGGTATTCGATCTGTCATTCGCAATGTGCTGCGAGCCACCTGACGTGGGGTTACTGGTTGAAGAGGACAGTCACGGTATGATGGTTTTCTATGAATCATGGCTCACAGGGGTCATAAAAGAAGAGGGCATCCTGTTGCGTCAGTTCCACTGAGTAGCGCGTGACCAAGATACGAATTTTCAGAGTTCTTAAAGCGAAACCGACCAAATACCAAACAACTGGTTGCCAAATAAAGAATGTGTGTTCAAGCGGTGAGTGAACCCCGTGGAAATTGTTCTTTACAACAAAATATATGTAGATACAAACTTTCGACTTCGGTGGCTACTGCAGTTTCCATCCAGGATGAGATACAATGAAGACACTAGTCAGAGCGAGAGGTTCAGTTTGGTCGTACAGGCAGATTGAGTGAAGTCAGACAAAATAGATGGTCAGTGTTATTGAATACATTACAAGAACAAATAAAAATACGCAGCGCGCCCATCTAAAGGAGTCCGACTTCATCTGGAAAGAGGGAATTGAAGAGCCATGAGGTGGCGTCATTCCTTACGCCTGTCTTCCTTTGAAAACCCGCATGATTTCCACTCGGAGAATTGGCATTAAAGATGTACCCTGGTGAAACAGCGAATGTAGTAGAGTTCCCTGTTTGGTTCTGGTTTTATACCGCTTTGCAGGGGCCACCGCTGCATTCTGTAAAAAGATAATGCAGTCCCTTAGTGAAGCTCGGGTTTGAACTCTCCGTCGGTCCTCATTATAGAAGGTTTCAAATTACCTTGGCTTTTGACCATTAAAGGTCCATCTGCTTTTCCGGGAGAATTTCGGGAATTATTGCCGAAAAACCTCGCCGACTGAATATTCTTCTCGGTATACGAGCCGGGGGATCTAACCATAAGGCATCCGCGACCTGGTTATATTTCTACCGATCAGTCCATTGGGGTAAACAACTCAAATGTACTTGGCCCTTAAGAACCAAATGGCCGTGCACTTGTTCACCGTAACGTCCCTATATCCAAGTCCCCTACCCTGATCAGCCGTCAAGAGGAATTATAGGAGGACATATTTTGAAAGGGTCTGACAAGATCCAGAAGGTTCCTTTCGCTTTAACTGCCCTCACTTACTGGATCTGGATTCTGCGTGGAAACTGTTCGAGGACACAACTCATCAAACAATAGATAATAACACTCCTCTGATCTCACGAAGTATCGACGGGTTTAACTCTGTCTGGCTTAAGCCGAGCACGCTTAAGTTTATGTGGCGTGAACAGCCGTCTTGGAATCAGTGGACGGTCACCAATAGCTCTACTGACTAACGAAACTACGAGAACACCCGTGAGAAGTGAGCAAAAAAGATCAGAAATAGAGAGGAACCTACCAAGGGCAACCACGTAGAAGTCCAGAGGGTATTATATTCACTGATTAAACCGAAGAGTAACAGTTCACTTAGAATACTCACTTGCAACATACCCACGAATACGAGACCAAGGGAGTACACGGTAGCGTAGTCAGATGGAATAGTATATTTGTAAGGTAGCGCGAAAATATCGATGGGTTCCAACCAGCTGGCCACGGGGTCGATTGCTAGCAGTGCAAAGCGACAAGATAGCGTGCCAAATGGCGTGGATGCTTGACCGTGTTCCTTCAGCTCAGTGAGTCCCTTGGAACTGTTGAGAGTTTGTTACTATTCCGTGACGTCAGACCTACCCTACTCAACATGATGTGCCCTACCACCTGCTTAACCAGTACCTCACACATCGTGTAAGTACTGGTAACGAAACGCAAATAGAAAGAGCTGGTTTCAGGAATATATCCGAGGAGGTAGTATATTTATTTAGAATAAATGTAATAGTAATGAATAGGGGAAGAGTTTATTCAACTCATCTAGTATAGCTAGTATGGCTGAACCAGGGACTCCAGGTACGTTTGTGCTAACCAGCACAACGGAAGAGCAAAATGTCACCGAAGCCTGCCCGGATGCATGCTCGTTAAAGCAAAACTTAAGCACCTAAAGCATCCGGAGGCGAGCCAGAGGTTTATTTGGTTAATTTAATTTGATCCATTTATTTTAGCCCTGGTTGTATTTTGGTGCCAGGAAGGTGCACTACAGAACTATGGAGGTCAACATCGATGTTGAAACTTGTCGGGCCCCAGGTTACTGATTCCAGAGAAGTATGTGACGCTACAATATCCTGCACACTATCTCTGGGTTGGAAAATTTAGTAGCTCGGGAACTCGAAAGCAAATTCTGTCAACCGTGAGGGACAACCACATATCTTTCAGACGCCAGTGTTGCCGAAGCGTCATTTCATGAAGTTAGAAGCCCTTATATTTATGGGAAGTTTGATGAAATGGAATCCAAATAAGTTACTAGGAATTGATGGTACTCACCTCAGAGTATTCAGAGATTTTGCCGACATTCCGAGAACCTCACTAGCAAACCCCTTCAGATATTTGCTTCTGGAAGGCAAGTTACCCCCTGATTGGAAGTGGAAGGCCGTTGGCCGAGCACACAGGGGTGGAAATAAACTAATTGCCGCAAACTTTAAACCAGTCTTCCTGGTCTTCCCAGCTGCGAAGGTTATGGACAGAGTAATAGATGGCTCATTTCGTGATTAACTGCCCAAAAGTTGAATCTTAAATGGACATTAGTGCGGGTTTTTGCCCGGAAACTTCACTTCGTTTCAAACAATACGTAGGATGCAGTGTGGTCGCAGTCGTCCAGAGTGGGCTCCTATTTAGCTAACTGTTTTCGATTCTGAGTAGTGCGCCTCAGAGTTAGATTCTTGGTTCGCTACTGCTTCTTACTGTTGTTGATGACTTACTAGGGACCATCGATTCTCACTCACTATTACATTACTGGGATGGTATAGGATAATGATGGCTGACAACAGAAAAGTAGTCCCATCTGTTATTCGCTGGATGAAATAAATACCTGCCACACTAACTTTGAAAAAGATTAGTTAGTTACTTTAAGTGAGAAACTTGGAACTTCGGTCCACTGTCGCCTTGTAGCCTTGGGGCTTCTTTCTCTAAGAGTTTACCCTTGGCTCTTATCAACAGTGTCTGTACTCAATATTCGTCGTCTTGAAAAAATCCTATACTTGAAGGACATGGCCATCCACTATCTACAGACCAGGGGGAGAAGAAATGCCTTTAAGGAGCAGATAATTCAACAACAGATTGTCTCAATCCTTTCAGGCTTTTTGGAAACAGGAAGACAACTGAGACCATTTCAAACCAAAGACTCATCCCAATAAGTCAAACCCAGAACTCAAGGAACCATGGTTCACTAATTCTATAACACGAAGTTTGAAGGTCGACTTAGAATTGAGGTTACTATGACGTCGACCTTATAAAGGGACTGTTTTTTCATGGTATATTGAACATAGACACTGGGAAACAGGGCATTTTAACTTGAAGGTCTGTCAGGGGGACACTGGCAAGAACAATTGGTCGGTAAGATTTATTTAAAGGCGGAGACTAATTCAGCATATACTATAATGGTACCACACATTTCAATATTTTTAATACATAGAGATTTACCACAGTGGTCAGATGAGGTCGAGTGAATACCTCCACTTGCATCCTACATACATGTCTGTTTAGACGTGTCTGATAAACACTCATTGTCCGATGTTCCAGGGTTTGTATAAGTGAGGCTTGTCCCTGCTGGCGTTAGTTTAGACTTCAACTCTCCACAACTAGGTGATTTCGACTGCAGAACATTCAATATCAATAATGCGAGCATACGAAACCGATAGAGCTTGGTTTTTCGTATCTGGTTCTTGGGACCCGGTTCTTGTTTCTCGGTTTGCTCCTACAGTAGGCGAGGGAATATCTTATGCTTTTCCGCCTCCATCTTGGGTGAAATATTTTTATGGGTTGTTGATTGTAGATTGAGGTGATTAGAGAGCTACAGGTTGGTGGGAAGAGTAAAGGTCTTTCGTGACTGCTGTCTGTGTAGGTGCTTGGATATTAATAACAAGACATTGGAAAAAGGTATGTGGTAATTAACCTAAATGTAGTAGTAGATAGTCGTGGTCTAGTTACCAGAGAAGAATTGGCGGATTATATAGGTGTATCAAAAAGAGATAGTGAGGGGTTAATATGAAGAAAGTAGAGGTGAGCTAGTGATTTTAATAATGCCCTGAGTACATCTGTAACAACGTAATTGCCTAACCGTCTTTTGAATGGGTTTACTGAAGGAGACTATGGCTACAATCCGCGGTAGTTAGACATGAGCTTGGTGTTATCTCTTTGATATGTCATCCTGATGGGGTTCCCTCATGATGACCACGTTCTAGGCAAGATTAGTTTACTTGCATGATTTGCCTGGTGAGTGACTCTGTAGACTATGATATCACCCCCTCTTTCTGCGACAGCCGAAAGTGCACTGATTTAGTCTTTCAGGGTATGATTTTCTCCTTAGTCCCACAACTGGTTTTATTGCAGATCTTTTGTTTTCTCACAAAGATTGGAGTTTTCTTGAGTGTTCGAGGTACTGCCGTATTGGAGACCTCCAGGTATGGCAATAAGTAGGGTTTGAAGACTTAGAAATAGTTCAGGGATGGGAGCACCAACTTGTCTACGCAGAATGTGTAAAGTGGCGTTTACTCTGGCTACCATTTCTTTGTAGTTCCAGTATCTGCAAATCATTTTGAAGTGATGTACACTCGGCCTCTTTGTTTACTACTCTCCACATTTTGATGTCTTCAGCGATGGGTAGGATGGGTAAGATTTTGTGGGGCAGATCATTGACAAAATGGAGGAACAGAAGTGGTTCCAGGATTGCTCCTTGGGATGCCCCTAATGTCAATGGTCTCCACCATGACCGCATTTTGTTCACCTTGGTACAAAACTATCTGCCTTGATACACTGAACCAAAAAAGCAGAGGTCCGTTTATCCCGGTTGATACGATCTTGGGGGAGCAGGCTTGCAAGTGGAACACTGTCAAATGCTTTAGCTAGGTCGAGAAAAATAACTACCGGTTTTCCGTTGTCCCAGCTGAACGTCAAGTCATCCTAGGCAGTTAACAGGTTGTTGGTACACTCTGAAAAGCCATGCTTAACAGTATGGGTGGTATTTTCTTTGTTAGGGAATTTTCAGATTTCTTTGGTTATCAGGCTTTCTAACACTTTTGCCAGTAAAGAGTAGGACAATCGGTCTGTAGCTCCCGGGACTCTTTCTGTCTTCTCCCCTGATGATGGGTGACAAGATTGTACACTTCCATTCTCCAGGGAGTCTGCATGAACCTAGCTAGTTCTTGAAGAGGTTGCATATTGGTTGGTAGGTTGGTTGGTTGGTAACAGTAGACAGTTATTTAGACTTATTAAGGAGACTGGGGGGAAATGGTCAACAACAGTTAGTGAGGTTATAGCGGAGAAGGACGGATCGGCGATTCACTCGCAGGGAAGGCGACTGGGACGATGGGCAGAACACTTTGAGGAACAGTTTAACTGGCCTCCAGCCACCATTGCGCTGCCCGCTATCCAGTCGGACCCTGAATGGGACATAGAGACAGGTCCCCCAACACTAGAAGAAGTTGAGAAAGCGGTAGGTAGCCTGAAACGGGGAAGGGCAGCAGGACCAGACGGACTACCTGCTGAGGTATACAAGAATGGTGGTAGAGTTCTCTTAGTCAGGCTAACGGAAGTGTTAGCCAGTATATGGGAATCAAATACGATCCCCTCCGACTGGTCTAAGTCACTGATCATCCCAGTCTTCAAGAAAGGCGAGAAGTCCTCTTGTGATAACCACAGAGGAATCAGCCTGACAAACATAGTGTCTAAGATCCTAAGTTCTATAATTCTCCGACGCCTGAGTGGAGCTCGGGAACAGCAAGCCCGAGAAAACCAGGCAGGCTTTAGACCTGGCCGTGGATGTATCGACCAAATATTCACACTGCGCCAGGTCCTGGAACATAGGCATGCTTACAGACGCCCGACAATAGCTGTATTTCTCGACCTGAAGGCGGCATTTGACTCCGTTGATCGAGAAGTCTTATGGCAGTGTCTGTCACTGAAAGGCGTGCCTAGTAAGTACATCACCTTATTGAAAGCTCTCTACTCGAACACTTGTGGGCATGTTAGAGCCTATGGTGAGTTGTCCAGGGAGCTATACTCATCAAGTGGTGTCCGTCAAGGATGCCCACTATCCCCATTCTTATTTAATTTTATCATAGATATTCTTATGGAGGTTTCCCTCTCGTCACCTAATTACAAAGACGTTGACCGGATCACAGGTGAATTTTCCTTAGATCTAGAATATGCAGATGACATAGTCCTGTTAGGTGAAGACGCTGACAAGATGCAGAGTCTTCTGAACACTTTGAGTGGGAATTTGAGAATGTTTGGGATGCGATTTTCACCACCCAAATGCAAATTTTTGCTCCAGGACTGGTCTTCAGCGGTACCGCGGTTAACAATAGAGAGTGAAGTGGTTGAGTGTGTTGACCACTTCACTTACCTGGGAAGTAGGATCAACCCGGTGGGTTAGTTGCCGATGAGATTTCTGCACGGATACAAAAGGCTCGATTGGCTTTTGCCAATTTGCGCCACCTATGGCGCCGCCGTGATATTCGTTTGTCTATTAAGGGTCGCGTGTACTGCACAGCAGTCCGCTCTGTTCTACTGTATGGCTGTGAAACATGGCCATTGAAAGTGGAAGACATGAGAAGGTTACAGGTATTTGACCACCGTTGCCTTCGTAGTATAGGACGTATTCCGTGGTGTCACCATGTGAGTAATGCAGAAGTTAGGTGTAGAGTTTTAGGGAGAAGAGGTAAGTCAGTCGACGAGGTTGTGAACCTTCATCGACTGAGATGGTTGGGACACGTACTACGTATGCCTAGTCACCGATTGCCTCGTCACACAATGTTGGCTGAGGTGGGTTCAGGCTGGAAAAAGGCCCGAGGTGGCCAGACTAAAACATGGCACCAATGTATGAAGTCTCTGACTGTTGGTTTAAGCCATGTAGGACGATGCAGACTAGGTGGTTGGGGTCCACGGGACAAGAGGAACCAGTGGTTGGAGACCCTAGGTGATATGGCTCAGAACCGAAGTCAGTGGCGCAGATGTATACACACATTATCCTCATCTTAACAACGCTATACCGAATCTCACTATTTTGTCACTCCTCTTTCCTTTCTTCTCGTACTTTATATTTCTTTTGACTGCATTCACTTATCTTCATCCTTCACCTCACTACCTTTTTACTTGATGTGCTGATATGAGGTGTGGCAACTCGGACCGTTACGCAGTAATGCCTGGTCCTATGTTGATAATGATGATGATGATATTGGTTTTGCGGGTACCTCGGCACACTTCTTTAGGATTACCGGTCTCAGATTATCTCAGCCAGGGAACTTGCCTGGATGGAGCCTGGATAGTTTTTCCGATACTTGTTTCTGTGTAATGTGGCAAAGGTATTCACCATTCATGGTCTGATCAGTGTCGTCCTGTACCGTCACTGTACACACATGTTAGGATGTGCCTGATAGGGGTAAAGGACTGGTTGCATATTTGTGGGGGAACACTTATGTGGTTTTCTCTAGGGTCTCCAGTCCTCACAAAAATGGACCACTCCATTTTCTGGCGCCTCACTTTCAGTTTTCGGGGGGACTGGTGGAAGAAGCTTCAGTACTTGATGTACCTGACTCACTGACTTCTGCCTGTGTGATAACCAATGGCTCTAGAGGTTTAGGTGGTTGCTGTCTCTCTTCTTGGCTAGTGGATCTTGGCTTGCTCTCACATACGTTCTGAACTACCCATGCGATGTCACGTTATAGTATGCGTGTAGAGCGTCTGTGCGTAAGACACGTGAGTCAAATTGGATGGCAAGTATTCTAGCAGTAGGAATGGGCTTCAGGTGTGTTGGTCTCGGCAGTCTGCTGACGGTGTTAGCCATTACATTGTGAAGACCAACTTTATTTGATAACCACTGCGATTGTTAAACGTCTTGGAGGTACTGATCTTTAGCAGAGCGATCATTTGAAAGTCCTGGGATCCCATGTACAACCAAAGTGGTGTTTCTGTTTGGATTTTCAACTGCTGTTTCTCTCTCTTCATCTCTCAATGACCATGGCTTGCCAGGCTGGGCATGAATTTTGCAGGTATTGAAATGTCCTGCTGTCGTGAGAAAAAGGGGATGTCTTCGAGTTCCTTCACAGTGTTCAGAGAGACTCGAAGGGCGGTAGCTTGTCTCGAGGTGCCCACGTTTGACCGTCAGATTGCTCTATCTTGACCAACAATGAGTCTGTCGATACATCAACGTCGAACAAGATGATCGAGTTAACCCTTCTTTCGCTTGTGTTCGTTATAGGTGACACCCGATTTCTCAATGGGTTTATGATGGAATTTTCCTGGATGCTTCTCGGTCGCAATGTCTAGAATGTTTACACGGTTTCGTCAAGGGTCCGGCGAATGGTATGTTTTTCCATGCCCTTGACGTTATGTGT